AGCAGAGCCACAGGCCAGTGAGGATCTCTATGAGCAGGGACCCGCCATGGGTACTCACAAGAACAGCTGAACATATGCAAAAGAACTACAAAGACAAGCTCCTGACAGCTGCACCAGTGGGTTCTGATAGAAATGAAACTCACCTAGTCTTTAACACGAACATTTCCCACCGCATGTCCAGTGAATAAAAATCTTGACATCTAATAAACTTAACAAAGATATTTACAAATCTCAAAAATCTTTGCAAAATTAGCTTTTTATAAACTTAACACTTGGTTTTTGGGATGACTATTCTGTATATTAGAATGTAGCTTTAAAAAGGGTAATTGCATAATATTGAGTGATTCTAAAAACAGTACTTTGAGAAAAGACATTCGGTACTGTTTCTGACACTATTTTAACTCTGATCGCCTGACCACACCCCCACCGAACCAAGTGACCCTACAGAACAGAGAGCACAATGAACACCTCACGTGGGCCAAGGTCCATCCGAGCACCAGGGTGGGTTTGTGAGCTCCACAGGCGATCAATACATAGCTTTAATGACCTCCTGGTCCTCAGAACAAGGAGCTTCAGGTGCCTCAGTGGCGAGGCCCAGAAATTCAAGCGAGGTGGGACATGACGCAACCCGCGCCTGGGGAACACATGAGACCAAACAGGAGCCAGGTCACGAGGCTGCTTGGCAGAGGAGGGCGCACCTTCACGAAAGCTGAGGGACATGTGGAGAACCACCTGGATGGCTCTCCTTGAAAGAAGAGCACCTGGCTGTACTTCCACGTACTGATATGTACAGAGCTGGCTAGGATATTTCTTTATCCCCTCAACTGGTTGCAAGCAATGCAAATGGGTCTAGCGAAGTGCTGATGTGCAGTCTTTAAAGCAATGTGACATCAGTGATTCCCTGGCTATAGCTTCCAAGTAGTATGTGTGAGCTAGGCCGAGTGACACATGCTGTCGGCGGGGACTTAGCTCTGAGAAAGAAGCCGTGATATCTCAGGGCACAACGATTACACATCAGAACTGAAGTACCAACCCCAAAACACTAGATACTGCCCCAATCTGTAATGTGCAAGTTACTCCTTCTGCATATCTCTCTCTGCATATTGCAGATGTGATTTCAGGTCTCCTGCCTAGCCCAGCTCACGGCACTCATGTACTTCCCACCACTCTCGCAGTCACTCATCCCCAAGCCACGCCCCTCTTCATGAATTAATAAAACTTGGTTCAGTCCTGGGTCGAGAACTTTGCTCCAGTTAACCATTGTTCTGACTGGACTTAGGGCCCCTCGGCTCCCCACAACTACAAACACGCTTTAGTGTCTTTATTCTCACCATGGGTTACGCTGGAAGTGGTAGGTTGGAATTAACTTCTTAGAATTCCAATACCTTTCCATGGGATTACAAATATAAACTCCTGGACCACGGTGAGGTCCAGGAAGGGCTCCCATAGGGACACACAGGTGTGTACCCACAAGAGGAATGTGAAAGTGGGTTGAGGGCCATGACCCTAATTAGGTCAAGTAAGAGACTGATTAAGGGTTTATAGTGATTACTGAAGGGGGAAACAAATAATTATTGATGATTCTTAATAATTCAAAATGTCCCCCAAAAGTCTCACGTGCTCTGAGACGTGGCCTTCGACGGTAACTGGATCACGATGCCGCTCAGTGCATGGATCCACTGATGCGTTCAGGGCCCAGGGCGATGTTAGGGTTGGGGCCAGGTCTGAGTGTCACGAAGGGGTGCGTTTGGATGGTGCATCTCTAACCTTGGCTCCTCCCTCTCCTCGCTGCTTCCTGGCTGAGAGCAGCTCTCCTCCTCCACACCCTTCCACCATGCCACCGCTGCCTTGGAACCAACCAACCATGGGGTCAATCCTCTGGAAACCGTGAGTCAAAATAAATCTCTCCTTTAAATATGAGTGTCAGATATTTCATCCACAGGAAAGCGGCTCATACAAACGTTATGAAGTTAACTTTTCAAGTGTTTCTTTGAAAAAAACAATATATGGATGGTTTGTCTGCTGTTTAGAACCAATGAAAAACTTTCCTTGAGACAATCAGCAATAATTTATTATGGGCTAAGACAAGGAAGCAAGGAATTACTGCTAATCTTGATAGAATGAGATTGGGGCCAGATGTAGGACACTACTGTTAGACAAGAGGAAGGCAGAAGAGGGAAGACAGGGGTTGTAAGGGTGGGTATAGGGGTGATGTGAGCAAAATATATATGTTGTAACTAAAACGTGAAACTGGGGGAGCATGGGGCAAGGAAATTTGGGAGGGTGAGAATGATCAAAGTACGTTATGTGCATTTAGAATCTTCCAAAATAAAACCCACTAACCTGTATAACAGTACAGAACCGGAAGTCTGTAGGGAGGGAGAATGTGACGTGCATGCTGCAGCACCCCTGCACTGGCCACTGCAGGAACAGCCCTCAGGGCCGGAGCACAGAACCCAACTCTAAAGATGACACCCAGGCAGGAAAGGAGCACAAGCATAGCCCCCAGCACAGACAACAAGCAACAAAAGGAGGATGCTAAGGCAGGAAAAAACTGCTGGATTTGTTTTTGACAGATATGAATCTACAGGCAATATAGCAATGTGGACTATAACAGGAACTAATTTCCTACGTGTTAAATTTCAGAGTGTGTTATACTAACCAGGTTGTTTTTGGGTAGCGGGTTTAGTACGTTTCACCTTAACAGTTCCAAAGTACAGTGGAGAAGTTGGTAGGACACAGGAGCTAAAATAAAAATAAAACCATACTCAACGAAGTTGCTCAGTCCACCAGATGTAAGACTGTAAGATTGATCAAACAATCAAAGACAGTAACAAGTAATAGAAAAAAAAAAAAATTGGAAATGATACAGAGCTTCACCATACAAGATGGTTGGAGTTCAACAATAGTTCTTATACTGCATATTGTTGTTTTCAGACCAGTTATTATGATTACCCAATTAAAGCATGCAAAATTGGTCAAGAACAAAGAAAATTTTAAGCATTGACTGTTCCTTTCAATAAACCACAGACCTCAGCAATACACCTATCCCAGCTATCCTTGAATATACATATAAATTTTGTTTTCCATTTTAAAGAGAAAAGAAAAAAACCAAAATAACAAAAACACATAAACAAAACAGTATGGAGAACAATAAAAAATTCCTATCATTTTGTTTTGAGGTCATGTATCATTTTTGTTGTTTTTGTGTTGTTTTGATTTTTCTTCATTATTGTTTTGTTAGTTTCTATAATCTATAGAATAAAAAATAAAAAAATAGGGCTGGGGATTTAGCTCAGCGGCAAAGCGCCTGCCTGGCAAGCACAAGGTCATGAGTTCGGTTCCCGGTACTGGAGAAAAACCAAAAAAATTTTTAAAAAAATAAAAAAATAAAATAAAAAAATAAAACCATACTAGGAGAATAATGATATGACACAATTATTTCAATGAAACACACATTAAGGACAGTTACAATCATTAATTCATACAGATATGGTTATACAATATTTGGAAATAAAAACTATTAAGATTATTCCTATCCTTAAAGAAAAATATTAATATATTTAATAAAAGTGCCATTTTATAATTTATGTTTTATTCTAAAATGAGGTACTATTTTGTGTTAAACTATGAACCACTTCTTAAACAAGATAGAAGCAATGGTATGAACAATAATTTGTTTCATACAGGGTCAGTATGGTTGTGTTTACAAATTTCACCTTTGTTTATTAACATGAAAGGAGTCTAGAATGCTATTAACAGACCGCCACTCACATGGAAACATTGTGCTTGACCAGACTGTACCTTGCTAGCACGGAGAGAGCTTCCCCAGGGCCGAGACACTGTTGAGACCTCCACAGCACGGCAGGGCTGATTTCTAACACAGCTATCTTATTCTCAAACATGGATGTGAGTAAGCAATATGCCTTTGAGAGACAGTAGTGACATAATTAGTAACATCACTGAATGGAAAGGAAATTACAGATTTGCATTCATATTTAATCATGAACACAGCTTATTAACAAATCTGTTTCATTTGCTTATGAACAAATCTGCTTCATTTGTACAAATCTGCTATATGATGGGTAAGAGTAGTTGCAGGGTATCATATAATTCATTAAAATGTTCACAAAGAAAATCTCATTTACTAAGCCAGTTATTATGATATTGTGCTCCAGAAAGTATAAATCAAAAATACAGAAGAGCAAGGTATGGTGGCACACGCCTGTAATTCCACCTGCAAGGAGGCTGAAGGAGGAGGGTCACAAGGTTTAGGGCAGCCTGAGAAACTTAGCAAGACCCTGCTTTCAAATTAAAAAGGGTAAGGATGTAGCTAAATGGCAAAGCACTTGTCTGGCATGTTTAAGCCCCAATATGCCAAAAAATATATGAAGACATTTGACAGAATCTAAACAAAGAAACGTTTTATGACTGACCTTCCGGTTGATAGTTTCGCTCGTCACTGCACATGAGCCAGCAACTTGAACACTGAGGCTCCTAAAATCTTAATTTTCAAAAATGATAGACAATGCTTCAGAAAGAAGTAGAAGGAACTAGCTACTTGCTCACTGACTCATTGCACCTACTAACGAATGCCTACCACCCCTCAGGCACTGAGCCAGCAGCGAAAGTGAGACAAGGCAGGAGAGACGGGCCCCAGCACAAAAGCCTGAAATTGGGTGTGACACCATGCAAGTGGAATTGGAATGAGGCCGTGAGAAAGCTGGGCAGACAATGGAATTTGCGAGGAGCACCCCCATCCCTGGAGGAAGCCCGGGACGTCAAAGAGGAACCTCAGGTAGCGCAGAGGGGCCCCGGCTGGAAAGGAGCAGCACGGAACAGTCCACATGCTCTGCAGGGTCGGGAGAACTCAGGGACTGGAAAGGGGCCAAGTTATCAGAGCATGTGCCAAAGCAGGGGCTTCGGAGGACGCAAGACATGGGCCCAAGCCACGCACGGAACACTGCTCCACCCCGAGCGCCACAGGAACCACAGAAAGCTCGGAAGTCTAAGGAGGAAGTGACGCAATCAGGACGGAATTTAAGACCGCTACTCGGGCCCTGTGCAGAAGGGGCGGGGGGCGCGGGAACAGCCTGAGGAGCAGGAGGGAGGCGCTGGGCTAGCCGTGCTAACCCTCCAGTGGGGACAGACACTGGGAAAGGGCACAGGACGAGAGACTCAAACAGAGAGCCTCAGGCTCGTGGTCAAATTCAAATTCTGAGGCTTTCTCCCCCTCAGTCTTTACAACGCTAAACAGCACCCCAAGAAAACAGGCAATCTACAGGACTTTCATATCAGAGATGATTAAACTTATGGTCTCACCTTTGAAACGTAAAACAGCTTCCACTTCACAGTTTGCCAAGTTAAATATGCATAACTCTGTTGGGCTTCCCACCCACAGGCATCTGGTGTTCTCAGAAGACAGGCTGATTTGGAAAGAAAAGGAAGTATCACGCCCTGACTCCACGCAGCTCTGCAGATCTGCAGCCTCACCTCCCTGACCGTGGGTAGTGAGCTCCCACCTGGGGACAACCTGCAAGGCATTTCCTTTCGCACCGAAGTTGCAGGTTCTTGTCACTTCTGATTACTTTTTGAGGTCTGTTCTGTGTTTCTTCGGAACCCACTTAGCGTCTGCTGGAGACAGGTGACTCAGAGTGACCACACTAACCAAAACTCAACTCTGATCTACGTGGCTTTACTCCTCTTCTGGTTACTGAGGAGCTGGGGGCTGCACGCTGAGGGGACTCGGTCAGGTAAGCGGCCTGGCATGTGATTGATGCCATGGCACGCACTGCACCTAATGGTGCTTACAGCTGTGTTTGGAAAGGGAGGAGCAAGTTGGGGAGGAAACTAATTGGCCCGCTGTAGCAGAGTTAATTACAATGCAAATACTGGTCTGTTGGTATCAATAAAGTCAATGAACCTACCTCAGAGAATGCCAGGCTTACACTCAAAACCACCCTCCCCACCGGTTCCTCCTCTCAGCCGTCCCCTGCAGCCCACCTTGAGGACACTTCCCGGCTGCCGGCCTTATCAGTGGAGCTACCGGCAGCCTGCTCTCTCCCCAGAGTCCTGCTCAGCACACAGCACCACCCCACGCTGCGGAGTAGGCACTGCGAGCAGAAATCAGGTGCTGGAACCTTAGCTGCATCTTTACCAGAGCTCTGCCGCTCTGAGAGAGCCAGAGGAGCCTTGCACCTCAGCCGAGGGACCGGCCCACAGCACAAGCCTATCGCCCAGTCCCCGAGCCAGCCCTGATGCTTCCGCCAGCAGGGCGTGAGGCTCCCAGGACCAGGCCGTTCAGAACAATCTGCCCCAAGTTCTTATTTTTCTTCCTGCAAACCCACATTCATCATAGAAATGTCACATTGACATGCATTAATTTGTACAATAATATATGTTAATGAAAAAAGCACTATACAAGAAACCCTCTCCGCCATCTAGAGGAACAACCTGCTCTTCTTTTGCTGAATTCATAATCTCTAGGGCTATCTAAGCTTGCTTTGGAGGGAGAGGTGAACACAAACACCAGGTGTTCTTTAATCACAGTTAGGCAATGCTTCCTCATCTTGCTACCCCTTTATAATATTTCTATCCAGCCCAGAAATAAATAAATAAATACAATTCATTTGAGGTTAATTTTAAATATGCAATAAATGGCACAAATGGGTGTAGCCGCCTTGGCCGAAGAGTGAATGGTTAAACCGCAGGGCAAAAGCACACAGGCTCTGAGGATTACACACCACCACATCACCATCGTGCATGGTTACACAATACCATGTTAGATTAGCAAGGCATGTTGTGTCTGGCCATTGTCCTTCCCTTTGCCTGACACACTGCCCAGCCTTGAGACAGTTCCTTGCCCAAACTGTTTTTCTTCTGCTTTTTCCCTTACACTGATATTCTAGAAAAAAGCCAGAGAGTTCTTGGCTTCAGTGCTACTCCTGAGAGTCTCCCTGACGCTGGGTGGTCTCAGTGGAGACAGCCCCTCTGGCCCTCTCAGTGTTCAGACTAAGTCTCATCTCCAAGTAATATTTCATTCTCTAGGCCACCAGGGTTACACTCTGAGACACAGGGGAGAAAAGGGAGGTTTACAGTGGGTATGACTACCATGCTCCATTCTAAGAAAAAGGCCTGTTACAGAGGTAAGAATCTGCCTAAATTTGGTAAGTAAACTTAAAATGATTCATTTCTTCTGTTACTGAGACTTAAGCAAAACTGACCAAGTTCACCCACTCTAAATCTTAAAATATACAATTCTAAGAACACATAGTTGGAAACAAAAGTAACTGCATTTTATTTTAATCACTCTTACAACCAAAAATTGATGTTCCCTGAAGCAATGTAAAGGGTTTTCCGCCCTGGTTTTTCCCAGCACCTACATACCCTCTGCTTCCAGAACTCAGCCTGTGGAGGAGGTGGCAGGGTGAGAGGCTCAGGACAGGTCTGCTTGCTTCAGGCTGTGTCCCCATGTCCAGATCACTCGCTCCTGCTGAGCAGGTCCACTGATCAACTGAGAGGCAAAATTAGACTAGTAATCAAGTTTAAGGACAAACAGCGGACTCAAGATGCTGCAATGGTTTATGTGGTTGGAATAACAAAACTGTGAGCCAGAAAAACACCTAGGATTAAATATATAAGTGTAAGTTTAAAGATAAAAATTATCCTCCAGAGCCAGAGATATGTAAGAGATGAAATTTCAGAGAACAGGGAGTGGAGGGCCAGGGATATAGCTCAGCGGCATAAGCGCCTGCCTGGCATGTGCAAGGTTCAATTCCTGGTACCCAAAAAAAAAAAAAAGAAAAGAAAAGAAAACAGGGAGTGGGGAAGAGGAGATGGTCAATTTAGAGGCCAATCCCATATTTTCTAAAATAGATTTGGGGTTTACTCAAAAATAATCATTTATAAATAGTCATTTATAAGACAAATAATATATATAGTGCATGAAAGTAATTTCTGCTCTAATACAGAAAGACATCGTTTAAAGCCATCTACAATAAACACAAACTGAAGGAAAGGCTTGAGGGAGGAGTAGCCCCTGTGACGTGCAGGAGAGAGATGGGCCCGGAGGTGGTGGCTAGGTGGATGGAGGTGGTGGCATCTGGCACGCAGTGGGCAGATGAGGACCTGCAGGTGATGCCGGGGTGGCTAGGCGAGGGACAGCTTGCAATGTGCAGGACACAGGGGGTACCTGGAGGCGGCAGTAGAGTGGGTGGCAAAGGGGCATCTGTGATGCACATGAAAGTGGTAAGGACCTGGCGGTGGCAGCAGGGTGTACCTGGCTCCTCCTGTGCAGAGCCCCAGTGTGCGCCTAACCCAGGCCCTGAGGCCTGCAGGCCTGTCCTGACTAGACCTCCACTACCACACCAACAGCCCAGGGCCTCGTGCCCCATCACCCCCAGCGGCACCTCATCTGCACTAGCCCAACCTCCACTCCCACTACACAGCCTGCCAGGGCCTAGGTGATTGTCTGAGGTTAGAAGCCTGGGCTTCCCCTAAACAAGAAATTCTTGGTCCTCGTTCCTCTCACTCTGTGTTCAGAGGCCTCACAAGGTGCCGTGAGCACTGTGTCCACTCAGGAGGCCCCACATGGGCCCGAGCAACGCACCTGGCAGGCCGTGCACTCCAGACTTCACCCTCCTGGTGATGAAAGTCTCGCTTTTCTTCCTCAGGTCCACTCGGGCTACACGGCGGTAATGATGTCCTTCGATCAAACTGAAAACCCAAAGCTGTGAAAGCAAGCATGCACAGAAAAGTATCTCTTTTAGCGGTGCTATTGAGGAATAAAGAGTACAGTGCTGAAGGGAACACAGTTCAGGCAGACAAGTCACAAGAAATACGTCCCTAGCTGTCCCTCAGAGATATGGCTTGGCTGTTCTTCTGTTCCACTGGCTGCCCTACCTCAGGAGATGCGAGGACCGCAGAGGACCAGTCAGGATGGACGGTCAGCCCAGCGCACACATGTGGTAACCCTGATTACCAAGGTCTCCTCAAGATGCCCACCTTCTAGGTCCCCAAGGCTCATGCCCAGATTCCTCTGCACCATAGGCCACTGCCTCCAGCGAGGGGTACTTCCAACCAGGGTGTTAAGGCACAGAATAACAGCAGTTGACTTTGTCAAAAAAATTAGCCTCCAAATGTATATCCATGCTTTCTGAAGTAAGCCTAAAATGCTTAGATAAAAAACTTTTTTAAGCAGGTTAAACATCTTTAGTTTTCAAAAATATTTAAAGTTGATGCTATACTCATGTGAGTGCTTCTCAACTTTCACTATACTGCAGTCCTAGCTGGAGCTTCTAGAACAGCAGATCACCAGGGTCAGGGGCACAGGTGCTGGGTCATCACACCCCTGGCCCCCACCGTGACATGGCGATGCAGAGCCGTACCATCACGGCACATGAGGCGACTGTTTCTTCAAGTCACAAAAACACCCGAAGTGACACTGAAGCAGACTTCAGTGCACAGGTTCACTTATAGCAACGTGCGCAAGCTGGGATGCAATTCTACAGCTCTCACCTGCCCATCGGCACACCCAGTAACGAGCTGCTTGCTTTCCTCGTCGATGAGCAGACTCAGGAGGGGATACGCTACAGAAAGGAGCAGAAGCATGGTTAGGTTCCTCAGTAGGCTACAACCGTCAGCTTTACTGACAGTACCTCCTTCGGTCAAGTTGGGATGATTCTGAAACTATGTCCTCTTAAATAGGGACAAAAAGTATATGAAAAAATGTTCATCATCTCTAGTCAACAGAGAAATGCAAATTAAAACTACATTGAGATCCCATCTCATCCCACCCAGAATGACATCATCAAGGACACACAAAAAAAAATTTTAGCAAAGATGTTGGGGAAAAGGAACCTTCCTATATTATTGGTAGCAACGTAAACTTCTACAACCACCATGGAAATCAGCATGGAGATTCCTCAAAAGACTAAATGTAGAAATACTATTTGACCCCGATATAGCAGTCTTAGATATATTCCCAAAAGAATTAAGGACTGCATACTATAATGATACATGCATAACTATATTTAGAGCAGCACAATCCACGACACTTAAGCTATGGAAACAACCTAGATGACCATCAACAGATGGACAGATCAAAAATGTGATATAAATATACATGTACAAAAGCCACAAAAAGAATGAAATTATGTCATTTGCAGGAAAACGGATGGGACTAGAAATCATCAGGTTCAGTGAAATTAGCCAGACTAGAAAATTATATTTCACATGATTTCTCCTATGAAACTTGAAAAACACATATATATGTACATGCATGCACACAGGATAGAGGACAGGAAACCAGAAGTAACTCCTGGAGACAGAAGGCGATAAGCAAGAGAGGGGAGAAAACAAAAGGAAAGAGGACTGCAACTGATTAAGATATATTAATTGCACGTTTCAATTTCCCAACGTAAATCTCATCATCGTGTAATATCAGCATGCTCTGATAAAACTGCTGCCCGGAATGTCAAATGTCAATATGTTAAACTTACGCTAACTTGTCAAGAATTAGAAGAACTAGGTAAATGCATATTTAAAAACATTATATGTCCAGAAAAAGAAATAAACCGTAGAATGTACACAGAACCACCCCTAAGATGATTGTAAACTTCATGACTTGCAAACATGTGCTAATAAAAATTTTTAAAATATTGTACCATTTTATAAAAAAAAAATTAAACATTATATGTCCACATAAGCTATAAATGACAATGAAGATCAAGTTTATAATTATGTTCTTGAGAATCAAATAATTCCACATAATAAATACAGGATGAGAATTCCAACATACTCCCAAAAACAGAGCTTCATCACAGGTCAGTAAACGTATTCAAGTTATCAGAATACCATAGTCTACACATGAATAAACTGGACCCAGGGAGAATGTAGAATCTTCAGGAAAACATAACAGTAACTGTACCAAGTTACCAAATTATCTGCATATCCTTCAGCATTTTCAAGTCTCATCCTGGGAGAGCCCCACCTCATGCTACCTTCTACTCCCTTCCGTGGGAACACTGCTCAGATGAGCGGGTGGGCTGTGATCCCAGGAGGAGATGCTGGAGGAGCACACAGAGGCTGCCAGTGGGATGTGCTCCCAGGAGGAGATGCTGGAGGAGCACACAGAGGCTGCCAGTGGGATGTGCTCCCAGGAGGAGATGCTGGAGGAGCACACAGAGGCTGCCAGTGGGATGTGCTCCCAGGACAGCCTGACCAGGGCCCGCCTGTGGGGAGGAGACCCACACCACAGGGACCTCTCACTCAGCTTAGCAGATGGGACCCACCTCTCCGGTCATCTACCTCCAAAAAGATAGCTTGAGGAAAGCACACAGCTACCATAGAATTCGGGAGCTGCGCAAACATCTCCAGCCTAACCACTAGGCCAAGCATGCTGGCCTCTCCTCACTGCATACCGGTCCTCAGGTTTGAACAGATGAGAACTATGGTGTTTGGAAGGTGAGTCTCATCTGTTCAGGACAGCAGAGGGCTTCCTGTGGCCAGGTGCTTTACCTGAGAGCCAATACACTTTGTTCAAGTCTATGACAGAGAAGCTCAGACTCCAAACATATGTTTAGGTTAAAAACTCCAAGAATATTGTTCTTCTGTTCCTTTCTATGACTGAATAATCCTCCACTGTGATACCACTGTAGGAAAATGGATAGAAATGGAGATCATCATGTTAAGTAAAATAAGCCAGACTCAGAAAGACAAACACTGCAGTTTCTTCTCCTATGTGGAATATAAACAAACAAAAACAAAACACAGAAGACAGCGTAGAAGACAGTTTATAGAGTTAGCTTCTGAGTGAGGCAGCTAGATATGGGGAGGACAAAGAAAATATTGGGTAGTCAGCCCAACCAATTAAAATTTAAATATAAATAGCAAACTAGGACTTCGGGTCAGGAATAGCCAGTCCTCAGGCAACATGAAATGTGGCCCCTCATTCTAAAAGGACAATATGAACACCCCTACTAAGTTCCTGAGTTCTGAGGAAATTATAATGCAAAGTAACCAGTTCTTTCTAAGATCCCAGTTTACTGTAAAAACTTTGTAAAGCGGTCGAGAGAGTGAGCCTAAGTTCCAACTGGTCCTTTCTTTAACTTCACAGGGTCACTTGAAATAGGTGACCACGAGATGACTAAGTGAGTCTATGCCCTGTTTACCTCTGAGTGACTCTAAGCCAAGTAACAATGCAGCCTCCCCATCCAGGACCCCCCTAAAAATCTAGGAGCTACTCTTCCTCTTCTAATTTTCACTAAAAACTCTCCTGACCTCCTCCTCTGGTTCATGACTTCATTCCTCAACATTTGCAAAACTCAAGCCCAATACTAATGGTATCAACAGCATGATGATAAAGTAGAAGGGGACTCTTACAGGAAAAAGCAAACAAGGCGGTAGAGAAGGGCAGACAAGGTGGCTAACCATGTGACTGTGAAAAACATTAAAGCGTGCTACATGCATGTAAAAACCTACACTAATGAAACCCACTTGTCTGAAAAACGAACATGCACTCATAAAAAATGTCAAGGACTCAATCTACTCAACATGTGGAGCGGATCACGGCTGCATCTGTGGGACAGCATAGGAATGGCAAAGATTTGGTTACAGAAAGTCCTTAGGTACAAGGTAGAAAAATTTTAAGTTTACCTGTTAAAATGGATGAACTGAATATTAATGATCCCGTGAAATGGTCCCAAACCTTTAAGCAAAGAGACATTCCTTTAGAGAAAGTAAAAATGTATGCATTATTGCTGTACCTTGAACTTATTTCTGCCAAATTGTATATTAATCTATGTGAATGACTACAAAACAGGAAATAAAATTATGCGTTAAATATAATAGAAATGCAGTAAGACAAAGAAGAATCTCGAAGGAAAAACCTCACACTTCAGAAGATAACGAATTTTGGGTCTGATAAGATTAAAAACGAAAACCTATGACAAAGTTAGACACAACTCCGCCTGGGTACTCAACGCATGAAGGAGTGCGACCTCGTCCCAAGGAGAACCCTGGCACTGGATGGCAGAGCAGCCCCTCTTGCGGACCTGATCCTGACTGGACGGAGTTTACCACTATGAACCATCCTGACTGTATGAGAGAGCGACCCCTACAGAGCGTC